GGCTAGACTGTTCTGACAGTAAAATCTTAAATCTCTGCTCCTTTCCCGCAGCACTGCCCAGTAAGACCCTCATGCAGCAGTGGAGGTGCGGGGGGGGTTTGGGGGTGGTCAGGCTGGACGCCATCTGCCCCTTTCTCACATCTGACTTCTACGTGTGTGTATATCACACTGGGGGAGGGTGGGGAGTAGAACAGAACGCACAGTAAAGTGTAAGTTGCTGGAATATTCCTATAAATAAAAAGCATTTCTGTGATTTCTCTCACACTCTTTTTTACTATTTAGTTTCTGAATTCTGATAAAATCAGTGCTACAGCATTTCAATACATCGTATGTCACCTCTTTTCCCATTTTGGGTCAAAAATGACTATTTAGAAATATGTTTGTAATCAATAAAGATGACATCACTCTGGACCTCCTTTAAAACCTCCTGTGCAAGAAAATGAAATATGAAACCATCGGTCTTCAAAAGCATTATTTATGCTTCTTATAAGCATTTTCTAACACAGAGAGGCTGCATTCAGCTGTGTCGTGCTTGTTAAAGTGAAGGTAATAGCAGACCCGCCCCATCACTGGTCTTTTATGAGAGAGTGAAACGCACAGTGGACACGGTCTTTCTTTTTTATGACCTCTCTTTTCATCCTCATCCCTCACTGTTTACAAGGACGAGTCCTATTAAAGTCCTACTTTTTATCAGGAACATCCAGATCCACCTAAATTTGCTCATCGTATACACCCACACACACACGCACACACAAACACCCACACACACACACACACACACGCACACACACACACAAATTGGTAAATATACAATCTAACGTCAGAGGGTCATATATTCAAATATATACACATATACAAATATATATATTTTACCCTATTTTTCAGTGGTCAAGACGCCCACAGGACCACCCCAGAGCAGGTATTATTTAAGTAGTGGATCATTCTTCGCTCTGCAGTGAGGCACAGCAGTGCTTCTGGAGTTTTTAAACACTGTACTTACTGTCCACTCTAAAGTCAGAGAAAGTAGCTCATATGTTGCTACAGTTTGTGTCATACTCTAGTCCTTCATCAGTGGTCACAGGACTGGGTAGTTTTGGTTGGTGGACTATTCTCAGTCCAGCAGTGACACTGATGAGTTTACCACCTGATTACAGCACTCAGTGCTATAAAGGTCTTCAAGGTATGACAGTGAATATGTTATGATTTCTCACTTATCCAAAGTCTCCCATCAGGAAATCTCAAGCAGCTGAGAGCCTTCTTCTCTCCAGTCTTTTCTCTTTTCAAAGCAAAAAGATGTGGTTGTGTCTACATCACTGAACTGTGTGAACTGTTCCACTGCCTCTCACTTCTAAGAAGTTTTTCAACAACACTTGCTCTCAAGATCTTCAGCAGCTCTTCTGAGCCCCCATGCTTGAAATAAGAAACTCCTGCTCAAGAAGCCTAATCTTGTTCTTTAGCAAACTTGTATTATGTGCACTGTACTGTACAGAGAAGCCTTTAATTCATGCCCCTAATATCTCAGTATTGACTGGGGGATTTAAACTCAGCCTTTGTCTCTCTCTCCAGGCTTCCAAAGATATTGTGAAGGAGTGGACAAAGTGGTGGACTTGTACTAATATGCTACTGAAATACCCTTATGCCTGTTGTTCTATAATTGGCGTATAAGAGAGTTAGTGATGGTCTGACAGTAGAAAGTGGAAAATACAGCTATAGAAGAATCTTCCACTATTATACTTCTCCATGTATAATCCATCCAATCGAGCTCCTGATATCATGTCAGAATTAGTTTTCATCTATGTGTGCTGCCTGGCTGTGGGAAAAGCTTCCCACCATCCATCTGATCATGGAAGTTACCTAAAGCCCTGAGTATATCTGCTGAGTGAGGATGTGGTTCTTCATGGTTTCTGTCTAGAAGGTGTTCAATAGTGCAGGTAAAATATCCTGATAATACAACAATCCTCTCTGGAGGACAGCTTTGTAATGCATCACGCAACTTCTCAAAAAGGTGATGCGGTCTGTGCCTAAATTTGGAGTATAAACATTAAAAAAAGAAAAACAAAGCCCAGTGAAGGCCATAAGCTCTATAACGCTGGATTGTCGCTCTGCTGAAAAGAAAATAGCAACAGCGACCCAGACTCTAGAGTCATGACCAAGGAAAGCCTGACCAGAGTCATCAGTGTGTTTCTTGTAATGAAGACTACATTAACTGTCTTTAGTGTTGCATATTGAAAAACAGCATCACGAGATCCATCCATGCTCAAAGAGCTAAGAGTTAAGAAGGCCGTGATGCTAACAACGTCACCTGCTTCTAACAGCGCTCAGGACTTCGTTCAGTCTGTACCGTTTTGGTTTAACCAGCTCGTTAAAGGCTGCTTTCCTCATCGCGGCTGGACAAGATGTCAGAGATCATTTTAAACCTGTAAAAAACACATTATTGGGCGAGAGAGAGAGAGAGGAGAGAGAGGGAGGGAGTGCGAGAGTGAGGGAGTTTGAGGAAGAGGAGAGAGAGAGAGAAAGAGAGAAGGAGAGCGAGCGATTGAGAGAGGGAGAGAGACTTACTGAATGCACTCTCCTCTCCTCCGTCATTTCTTCTCTCGGCTGTACTGAATGAGGAGTTCAGATTTCAGCTTCAGCGGATTTTACATTCATCTGCGCGCGGAGAGAAACGGAGCTCAGACACAGAGGAAAAGATCGATTAACAATGACACTGAACAAATAATATAATCCAGACCAGCGGAGAGAAGAATGGAGGGAGCACTGAGGACACTTCACTGAGAACACACACACACACACTCTCTCTCTCTCTCTCTCTCTCTCTCTCTCTCTCTCTCACTGAGCTGGACATCACAACGGTGTGTGGAGGAAAAGAAGGTGAGTTTCATTACTACTAGCAGCCTCATATTCACAGCTCCTCATGCACTGGACTGAAGCGGCGCGTTCCTGTGAATATCATCTCTTCTTCATGTAGACATTTGAATCTAAATTAAATGTAATACTTTTTCATTATAGGCATTTGATGACGCTGCTTGTTTTCTGAAAACTAACTAACTAAATAAATAAACAAACAGGGTCACTGCAGGTTTATTACTTGCTGTCCTGGTTGTGAAAGTTTTTCGTGGCGGAGTGTGACTCAGCGACGTTTAAAGCACTTAAAGCGAATTTTAATACCACGTTAGCGTCAGTACAGACCATTTATAACCGACATTATGAACATGTGTCAAAGTATGAGAGTGAATGTGGTGAATGTGAGTTAATATGGGAGTTTAACGTTTAGGAAAAGACAGTGAAACTGAAGAAGTAGCGCATGAAGCTGTAGTCAGCATTAACTCTACTACACATTCTGTTCAGTTTAGCCCGTAAAACGCAGCAGGTGACACATTCTTAAACAGCCTTTATTCATTTTATTAATACTTATAGCCTTTATTAATAATTATTCCTGATGGCCACATTGTGCTGAGAAGCTGTGAGTGTAGAACTGTATTAATGTAGATCAGACTGGGGTTTGATTTTAGGTAAATGATGACGCGCTGTTATCAGACTGAATTAGTCTAATATCACCACTGTTAACCTCAGCCTGTTAAAGTGGAATAAGGAGAGAGAGAGAGAGAGAGAGAGAGAGAGAGAGAGAGAGAGAGAGAGACTAAAAAAACTGTTTAATTCACAATAATGTTTTGAAAATTAGCTACGATTACCTCCAAAGGGAAAAGGTTCACCATTTGAATAGTAGACCAATAGAAGATATAAGCTCATTTTCCCCCCTGAAAAACATATAATTATTAGTTGTTCGATAAAAGGCAAAATCATTTTATATGCATAACTCGATCAGAGCTTAGGAGAGCTCTTTTTATTTGGTCAGTTAAAAATGTACTAAATGTGCAAAGTCACAAATTATGAATACCAGTGAATCAGACTTATTACAGAAATTATAAAGAAATGACTTCTTTCCTTTTCTTTCTTTCTTTCTTTCTTTCTTTCTTTCTTTCTGTGTTGATCCTCTGACCAGTTTTGAAGCTACTTAAGAGAGACGAAAAGCAAAAAACAAACCCCAATTAGTCAGTTACCAAAAAAGGGGGGAGTGTGAAAGGTTTAACTCTTTTTCACAGCCATAATTTCCATTCAGTTCAGTCCACCTGTTTTTGGCAGTAAATGCATTTTTTGCTTCAAAATTGTTGATGTAAATATGTAAGATTTACAGACCCAGAAGTGAATAGGATTTCATATTCATAGGTGAGCAAGCATGCGCTGTCTGTTTAATCTCAGCACGGCAGTCTTTGAGGAGAGGTGTGAATGGTTTTCACAGCAGGGGGTCTCAGCCCTCAGCTTTCCCCTACATTGCTCACTAGCAGCTCAACACAGAGTCACACCCAGAGTTAACAGTGTCCTGATAACAGAGTTACAAGGAAAAATATTTTATTTGATCATACTACTTAAAAATATCTGAGTCAATTCTCATTCTGCCGGCTGAGTGGTCACTGGGGGGCCTACAAAAAGAGGTCAAAGTTGATTGTTACAGGCAGGCGTAAAGGGGTTTTAATGAACACTACAAAAATGAATTAGTTTTTAACTTGTGGAACTTGTGGCACAGTCGATTGTTAGTCATTATAAAAAAGCTGAAATTTTCTTATAACTTTGTTTTCCTCATTTTTATATTTTAACATTATACTTTTATACAACATGATATTCTTTCTTTCTTTATTTATTTATTTCTTTCTTTCATTTTTTGTTTGTTCGGTTCTTTCTTTCTTTCATTCATTCTTTCTTTTTGTCTTTCATTAATTCTTTCTTTCTTTTTTCTTTCATTCATTTATTCATTCTTTCTTTCTTTCTTTCTTTCTTTCTTTCTTTCTTCCAGGCCTTAGAACCCTAATCTCCCTCCTCCTCCTTCCCACCTCACTCACTACTTTTTTCAGCTTTTTCTTTCTTCCTCCCTCTGTCCCTCCTTTCCTACTTGCAGTTCCTTTAACCCTAATTTAACCCCCCTCCCTCCCTCTCTCTCTCTCTCTCTCTCTCTCTCTCTCTCTCTCTCTCTCTCTCTCTCTAGATGATGCTCAGTCCGGATCACTCTGATTCTGACCTGCTGTGGCCTCAGTCGGACCCTGAAACGCTCCTCAATGTCATCAAAGTTGAGCGTGTGGCGGACAAGCCCCCGGAAGCAGGTGCGGACAGTAAGGCCCGTTTGCGCTCCCTGGCGCCCCCCCTGACCCGCGAGGAGAAGCGGCGGCGACGGCGCGCAACCGCCAAATACAGGCTGGCCCACGCCATGCGTGAGCGCATCCGGGTCGAGGCCTTCAACGTGGCGTTCGCAGAGCTCCGGAAGCTGCTGCCCACACTTCCGCCCGACAAGAAGCTTTCCAAGATCGAGATCCTGCGGCTCGCCATATGTTACATATCCTACCTGAACCATGTGCTAGATGTTTAAACCCCGAGGAGAACATTCAGACCAACAGGAGAGAAGAAACACATCAAATATTGATGATAATACTGTCAGCAGACTAAGAGAGGCCTGTTGTTTGGTCAAGTGAAAGATGTCCTTTAATTGGATATACAGTCTCTCAGAATACGTTGGGTTCACCCGGGTCAGATGGCCTGCAGTAACATGTGTGCATTATAGAATCACTCTCAAATGGATGTGCACAACAGGACCTTTCATCAGGAAACCTTGAGTTTTACAAACGGTCAATTATCAACTAATAGCCAACACTGAAAAAAGTGATGCATTAAATTTACTTGATTCAAATATACACATTAAAAAATCACTCTTATACTGGAATTCCACTGATTTTTCAAAATTTCTGTATAATACAATCATTAAGATATATGCAAAGTCATTTAGAGTGGATTAGTGTAAAATGCTCTGTTCTAGAGAAACTCACCAAGACAGAATTGTTCACAGTGGTATTGATAGGAACCAGATGTCTGAAGAGTTTTATGCCTCTGAAAGCTCCCTTACAGAAAGTTATTACATGAAATTGTTAAAAATACACAGCTTGATGCCTAAGACATTGTTTTAGTTTCATTTCAAGAGAAGATTATAGCCTAAAATATTTTTTTAATTCATTTATGATGTAGAGGTACATGCAGGACATTATAAGGCAAAATAGTACCATGAAGAAAACATGTTTTTGGATTTACCCCTATATTTCAACAATGGACATTACATACAAAAACTCAGAAGACATATAAGAAGTCAAGACACCTAGAAGGTGTGTAGGTTCACTGGTCATTTTGGATTTTAAATAAATGGCTATAATCTTTGTGCTGTAGACATTGTGACTCCTTGTACCAGCACTGTAAAATAATTTGAATGACTAAGTTTCTCTGAAATGAGAATTTAACATCAAACCACTCTGAATGAGTTCGTTTACATCTCAAGATTAAATTGTGCAGAATTTTTGAAAATGGGTGGAGTTTCCCTCTAGGCCCTATTCAGATTGAGTTAGTTGATCAGTAATACATTTTTTATAGTGATGAAACTCTCACATCCACACAGAAATAACATTTCTGCCAGGCGAGTGAGTTTCAAGTAGGTTCTATTTTCTTCAAACTCAGAAGTTTGTGTCACATGTGGTCAAATGATTGTAGATGTTATTTTTAGTAAAGTAAAAGCTGATGATAAATGTGATAAAATTATCAGACCACTGCTAAGTTTAGTGAAAAAGTCATTCAGCCTGTCATTTTCTCAAGGTAGGAGGGAGAAAAACAATCATGACCGATCTGGACAGAAAGAAAATCACATGTAGCACCTGTAACAAAGGAAATTAGCCCAGGACCCCATGTAAAGCTAATCCTGTCCAAAAGGGGCTTATGGATTCCAATAGTACCAACCAAAAAGAGTCTATGATCTGTAACAATAGAATCTTTCAGTGTTACATAGAACCATTTTAAAGGTTTATATAGCAGGTTTTCTGTAATAGAGAACAACTATTTAACCATTCAAAGAATTATTTACACACTGAAATGGTTCTTTGAGTTGTCACAGGTTTATATACAGTCATCTGCAAAAGTCTACATGTTTTGTTTATTTTCTAAATCTTAAAGTAAGATAACACATCCTCTTACAGGGAACAAACTGAAATATATTTATATTTCTATTTGCTGAGTTTAGGATATTGGAAAAAAAAAAAAAAATGAAATGTAAAATATGCCATAACCTTTAGAGGACGCATAACTCATTTTCAGTTAGAAAATTAGCAAAACATGTAAATTGACCAGATGTGCCTAAACCTTTGCATATGACTGTGTTACCATTGCCTTTGCTAAAGAATCATACTGAAACGTGTACACAAACACAGCTATGTCTTTCAGGTTGCTCTGGTAATAGTTGTGTTGGTGTACTATGGTAGAAATAATGTATATATTTGAATCAAATAAATTCAACAACAAGAAAATAAGAAGTTCATTTATGCATCGCTTTTTTCAGTGTAGACCTGTCTACGTTTAAGGGACAGAAGAATTGTCTTGTTAATCTCAATTCATTCATTCATTCATTCATTCATTTATTTATTTATTTATTTATTTATTAAATTTAAATGTTAATGCCTCAGATGTCTTACAAGTAGTTCTCACGTGTGCAGCACTCTTGATGTGTTTGCTCTTCTTGACCTGAGATTTACCAAGAGCCTACAAAGAGCCTCAACTCTCTTTGGCCATTAAGCAGTCCTAGACCCTAAAGCAGGGGTGCACAACTCCGGTTCTGGAGGGCCGGTGTCCAGCACAGTTCGAAGGCTTCCCTTCTCAAACACACCCACTTAACCTGGCAATTAACAGAAGAGTGTAATCAGGTGTGTTGGAGCAGGTAAATTACCGAACTGTGCTGGACACTGGCCCTCCAGGACCACAGTTGTGCACCCCTGCCCTAATGTCAATCTAATGCAATATCTAAAACTATATATTGCATATATTGTAGTTGAACATTGCTCCACTATGTACAACATACAGT